GTATGGTTTATGTATTTTGCAAGAAGGTGTGTTACCATTGCAGGCAGATGGGCCACTTTACTCAGCAAATGAACCAGTCCCTTTTAATACCCATCTCTTATCCAGGCTTCATAGAACTGGAAAAAAAACCAGTGAAACCAGTGTGAGCTACTCGCACTGGGTTTAGTGGTAGGGTCTAGGATTCTGCTTGGTATCTGCTTAGGGACTGGTTGCTTTAAGTGTATGAGACATGCCACTGGCAGATTTTACAATGGTAGCCTAGTTTAGAAATTGAGGGAGGAAAGAATTTGCTTTATTTGACTGTTTTTGTAGCTGTTGTTCTAATTAAAAACATCCTTCGCGTTCTCTACCTGAACAGTTCCCAGCCCTCCATGACCATGGGGTAGAATGCAAATGGGACTTGCTTCAATGTGAACAGAAGAACTTTCTGTTTTCTGTTTGCCTTGTTTCAGACCAAGGTTGGTGGGACAAGCCACACAGGAGGCAGTTTTGAAGAAGTTCTCAGCTCTACAGCCCATGCCAGCGCTCAGAGCTCTCTTGCTGGTACCCGACTTCCTGAGAGTGAAGAAGAGCTTCAGTGTTAAGCTTCAGGCCCTCCTGAGCCCCGCATACTTCTCTTCAGAGACTTGCCCAGACAGTGATTTGCAACATTCTTTCACCACACAACTTGTGCAACAAGGTTTTGTCAGCTTTGGAAAACTGCCTCCCTGGCCTTGTGTTGGAGAAATGTTTCCTCTCCCTATTTCTGTTTTAGATGGGCCATTTTAGTGCCAGGTACTTTGTACATCATCGAAACCACACACCAGTCATTGGCTATAATGCACTAAATTCTGTGTTAAGTGACTAACATAGTTTTCATTTTCACATGACTTCCCTCCAACAGTCTCCCAGTTCCTGTTTCTTATCTCTTTTAGTTTACTCTTTTGTATGTGTTGGTTTCTGGATCCCCTCTCGGTGCCACATCAGACAGATGGACCTAGAGCTGTGCTAAGCTTTCAGCTGCCAGCAGTAGCCCATACACCAGCTGTCTATCAGCCATACCAGGTGCCCTTTGTTCAGGAGTTTCAGTACATGATCTGTTTCCTAACAGAATTAAAATCACTTATTGTCACAAAAAATTTTTTCTCCTTCACTGGTACGGTCTGGCATTGCCTTCCACCTGTTAATCAGCAGAGTTAAGGAGGACAAGAAGAGACCCCCAGTTATTCATTCAGAAACTGAACTGATCACAGCTCTGGATTCAAGATGGTCACTGTGGCTGGAAAAGTTTCAGTTTAGAAATATGTACCATTGCTCACTCTCTGTGGTTTGGTAAGGCTTGACAGTATAAGTTAATTACAAAATCAAGTGGAGCTGAGGAAACCTCTAATATTTTTGCCTCCATATCTTACCCTCAAAAATAAGGAAGGTATTTATGAGCTTCAGTCAAGCTACAGCCTTAAGTGAAAGAATACAAACCCAACAACTGGCTTCAGATGTGCCATAGGTTAGAGAGCCCATGCCTTCAGGCCGCACTTCAGAGCTGCTAGAATAGACCCTGTCATCTCACAATATACCGGATGAGTAAAAACTTTACTTCACTCTTGGTGTCAAATTTTGTCATGCTTCGCTCTGGGACAAAGTTCCACCAACTGCGTTATCTCTGCTCAGTCACCAAGAGCCAGGCATCTCTCAGCTTTGATTCAGCATGCTTTCTTGCATTCTTCTAACATTTTTTCTAAGGAAAGAGCAGCACGTTTGTGACACTATCTGGCTGTCTAGTGAGCACGTGTCAGTATGCATGTTGCATTAAGTTCACCAGATTGAGGAGAGCACAATGTTATCAATAAACAAGATGGAAAAGAGCCTGGCTACTTTGAAAATGGATGCATTTTTTGAGCATACGCCAAAGCTTCAAATCAGTGTTAGTGAGTTTGACATTACAGACTGCTTAAAATTTTGTGAGAAAACTTGGCTTTAAGTGATTTTTTTTCCCTGTGTGGCTTTTGGTAGTTTTTACAAAATTGAAAGTCCTTTTGTAATGTTCTACTGGACATAAGTTAACTTTGGACATTTATATGACATGCCTCTTTAGTGTGATTTTTAGCACGGAAGCAAATCTAATTATGCTTTTCTAGTATTCTTGTGACAATTTTCTAGCTTATTTTACGTGGGTTTTTGCATAAATGTGAGTTTATTTAAAATGTAAGCTATTAATTGTCTAGTTTGTGTAAATTAAATTCTTGATATTCTTATTAAAAATAAATTTCTCTCTTACTCTTTTACCCTTTGTGATGTTTTAATTCTGTGTTTACTAGTAGTGCTGAGCAACCTGGTCTGGTGGGAGGTGTCCCTGCCCATGGCGGGGGGGGGTTGGAACTAGATGGTCTTAAAAGTCCCTTCCAACCCAAACCATTCTATGATTCTATGATTACTGTGCATCTATAAGCGTTGGTATTTCATGGAAGAATATCAAGGTAAGATGCATGAACATAATCTGCTATTTTTACTTAGTTTTTAAAATCTGTTCAGTTTCTTCTGGGCCTGAAATTCCCCATGAAAAATCTGTGGCCCAAATTTTGAAAATTCTGAGGTTCAATGGAAAATATACTTGAACTAAGTTCAATAAAAGTGAAATGCATGGCAGAAAATATCTAGGTCTAAAACCACTGACCTTCTGAGCAGGGCCAGCAGCCAAACCAAGCTCAAAACATGGAGTCCAAACACTGTTGGGACACTAATTTAGACCTCATTTAATTTATTTACGTATGTATGTATAGACATTGAAAATACTTCTGGGGAGCAGTAAATTGCATTTAATTGCATTCATTAAGAGCATAATTTCAAGAGTGCTAGTGGAGGTAGGCTGGCCAGGCAAGCTTCACTTCCATAAAAATTCTTAAATGTTACTGTCATGACAGCAGCTGCCACTAGGTGTAGGGTCAATGCTGATATGAACAAATCAGAAGAAAGACATATGAGGAGGCAAGTTCCTCTTGCAGGTCATGGGTCCAACACCTTTTCCTACAGGTGAGCAGTGCACTTTAGAACTGCATAAGGAAGCCTGAAACCCCACAGGCTGTTTGCTAACCTATCTGTCAACCTCTCATCACAGCTCATGCTTTCTGATCACACCTTCTTCTCCCATCTCCTTTCAGCTAACTCCTGTTTCTGTCACAATGCAGTGTCCAAAACTGACATAGGATTGCAGTGGCAGCAAGTAGAAGGGAATGTAATTTTACACATTTTTTTAAACCCAAATCCAACGCAATGCATACCCAAACCATGTCTCCATTTCTCAGGCTAGCACCACTGCACTGGGGTTTCACACTGTCCCCTACATCCCCTGCAGAAAAGGGAAGCTTCCTTACTCCATTGCAGGAATGGACTGTTCCCGTTTAGGGTAGCGCTTGTGCTGTGTATGTTTCTACCAAGCATCTCTTCAAGGCCACTTTTCTGGTTTGTTAAGAATGTTCTCAGTCCTGTCTTTCAATGCATCTGTAGCTCTTTCACGCTCAGCATTCAGTGGAAACTAATAGAGACTATAATCTGTGTGCATCTTGGTGGAATAAATATGCTGAAGAGAGCTCAGTGGGCCCCACTCCATCCCACTTGCAGTATGACTGTCTTGCCAATAACCACTTTCCTATTGCTCAGGAAAGCACAACTTGTTCTTCCAGGGCTTCCACAGGGCACAACTGCTCCCTTGTGGGGTTCCCAGCAGAGCAGGCATCTCACATCTCCTCTGGACCAGACCAATATGCTCTGCAGATTTTGTGCACTGTGCCAACCCCTAAAGCAAGAGCTCCCAGCAGCTGTACCCAGCACTCTGTGCCTCTGCCAAAGGCACCAGCTGCAGAATGCTGCACAAGCTTTGGTCAGGCCCCTGAGGTTTGCATAAAGGAAACATTTCCTGAGTCATGGTGCCTGAAAATGTGTGCTCAGCTACATTACCCATCTTTAAACTGGATGACAATTGAATTTAGTTTTATGCTGCTTCATTTGACATGAGGCGGAAGACAGAGAAGCGAGCTCCAGGTCTCGACCATGTAAATTTTCCAGGTGCAAACTTTGCTTACTTGGTAATCATGACATTGCCCTAATCTCCAGCTGCACACAACTCAGCAGTTGGCTGTGCAGACACTGGCCTCATTATGGCATTTACCATCACTACAGCTTTGCTTCCCAATCATTCTGTACTTCTACATTGGCAATATTACTTCTGCCAGAAACTCAGTTACAGCAGAATCAGTACCAGTGTGTAACAGCCAGAAGAAGGGAACCAGCTTTCCACAAGTATAGAGGTTTCTGCGTTAGACTGCACAAACACCAAAGATCCCTCCCAACCTCAGCTATTCTGTGATTATCAATTACCTGTCAAAGAGTCTGTAAAACTGCCAGTCTGGGGTGAGGGGGAGTAAGGAATATTGGAATTATAGAAATGTTGGCACCAGTCCTTGACACAGCACATGAACACAGCACAGTGGGAAAGTCCTATGAAACAATGAAGATATTGAGAAAATATAATTAATGAGATTACCAATTTTATCCACCATCACTTCTTAAGGCTTATGTACTCGAAAGAAATCTCATCTCTAGGCTCAGTCAAGAGCTCGCAGAGGAACGTGCTCCTTGGTCTCATTTCTGCGTAGCACTGTGAGTGGATACTAACCCACTGAAAGGTAATTAAATCCATACATACTTGGAAGTCACAGAGCAAGACATACACAGTGCATTACATGAACTGATTAGATTGCAATCAGCTAATTTGTAAACGTACTTGAACTTCCCCAGCGGAGGATCTATTTGTAACCGAGACTGCATTAATCAAAGGCTGATTAAAAAAAAAGGAAAAACCCAAACAAGATAATTCTAAATATTTGGTCCTTGACACAAACTCTGATCTGGGAGGTAAATATGCTCCCTGCTCTATCTAAGTGGTCCTGGGATTCTCAGCAATGAATGCACAGGAAAAAAATCTGCTGGCAGAATCAGTGATCTTACAGAAGGAAACATAATGCACAGAATATAAAACAAAGTATTTATTATAGCTACAGCATTTAGGAGCACCTCAGGAATGCGGACGAGATGTAGCAGCTATTTTTTTATTCCTTTCTGTGTTAATCAGAGATACAAGCTGAAGTATTTCTGGGTGAAAAAACTTTCCTGCAAAACAAAAGAAAGGGAAATTTAATGAATAAGGCTGTCATTTTCCCACATGTGAAAGGCTGGCATTGGAATGATAGCAGTGATATCACTTCAGGCTCAGAATAAATGTCAAATTATTTAAGAAAGTGAATACTCACAGTTTGATCCAACTATGGAGTAACAGTAGTTACAGCCCTTCTTACCAAAAAGCTTATATTTTGTGCCATATTAAGACCTTAAGAGCTGAAAAAGGGATGCACCCTGACCAAGATAATCCGATACTATGTATCCTGCTACAGGAAACCACTCCAATTACAGGTGCACTTGGGGTGTATGCTGTAGGCTCTACTCAGACACCAGCTCAGTTTAGTTTACTGAATTGTGGTAGGAGGGTAAAGATGTCAGTTAGAAAATTAGGTATTCCAGCTTTGTTTATGTAGTCCTTTTTTTCCGTCTTCCCTAATCAACCTATTACATTTTTCAGAGAGCTTATTATTTCCCCAAGGAGTCACTGAAGTATAAATGGGACTTGTCAGGAAGTGTCTGGTGACTGCTAGTCCTCTTCCCGAGTTTGTCTACCCCTAGTTTTTTTCCAGGACTGGTTGACTTAGTCACAAGTTCTCTTCTGGTGTTCAGCTCCCTTGCTAAAATTATAAAGATTATTATTTTACCTATTTCAACTATCAGTTTATTTTGCAAAGGATGAAAAGCAATGGATAGAATAAAAGGTAATACAATTGCAGCTAAACCATTTCACTGAGGTGGTTCTCACATACATGAACCTTAGGCAGGTCACACACAACCACAGCTCACGTAGAGATAACAAATGCTACTTCACTGGCTCATGAAACACTAATAGAGTAGAAACAAGCTGCTGTCAGAGCATCTGTGAAGGCTGAAGACTCCTTTAGGCCTCCTCTGATGTTTCAGGGAGTTTCTTAAACACATGCAAGTGTAATGAAAGCTGGGCCTCTGTCTAGATAAAAAAGTGATCTAAAAGGAATTTGGCATAAATGAAATTCAGGCTCAATATCTATAGACAAATATAAGGTATTTTCACACTGATTAAGTTTCCCTCAAAATGTTTAGGGTACTTGAGCAATGAGTAAAATAACTAGTTCTCACTTGCTCTGAATGTCTGTCAGAAAAAAAGGCGATTTATCTATTTCATTTATGAAAGAGGAAAAATAAAAAGCCCAAATGTCATACCAGCAGTTGAATCATAAAAATCTTGCAATCTGCCAGGTGTATTTTCCAATTCTTCATACTCAAATGCTTGTAGTATCATCTCACACTGATCCAACTGTTTTACAAACTTGGCTTCTGCAGTAGACTGGTTTTCATATTCCTGAAAAGATTTGAAGTTATAGGAAAATAATTTTGTTTCTCTGAAACAAAGTATTAAAAGCTCTTTATGTATCAAGAATTTTCTTCATTAGTACAAGCCACTCCATAAATATCCACCGCAGTTACATCTTTCACTTTGTTTTTAAGACGCTATTCAGCAAAACACAATATGTGCCAAATTTATATTAAATGTAATGGGACTCAGAACACAATTCTTTTGCATAATCTAAGTCTAAATATATCAATTGTTTTGGCTGAATCAGGGATGATACGGAAGCAACCCTGCACCATATACAAGTTAAACAATAGGTTCCATTTAATAACATTTTACATATAAAGATTATTTGAGGCCTGGCTTAATATGAATTATCACAGAGTGTGCCTATGCATTGTCATCACCTATTTTTAAGACCTATTTTGCACTTTTCTCCACTACTTGCTGTTTCCATATGGAGCTGTTCTTTACATTTCTCCTGTCATTCCTTCCTAATCTTTTTGGTCTAATCTGTCTGAGCTGCTTATGTTCTTATGTCTCTCCCAAGAGATAGGAAGAGGAGTGGTTGAGGGGTTTCCCCCCCGTCAGACTTTAAGTCCTTTAATCTCTGGGCTATCTTTTCCCTCTCTACAGTAATCATCAGCATATATTTGTGAGTTATTCCCATTTCTAGTCAACTTGAACAATGTTGCTGTCATTTGCTTCCAGTGATGGCTGCAGACAGGTTTGCCATTTCATTTTCTCTGTCACATTGCATGTGATGTCTCATTAGCTGGTCTTCTCCTGACTTCCAAAATCAACCCCAGGAAAAAGGTTTTTTTCTGTGCAGGTTACCAATCACCTTGATACCCTCTGCAGGCCGACTCCATTCATCATCACCATTAATCAGCCTTAAGTACACACCATCCCATCTGTGCTCCCAGATCCACAGAACCTGTGACTCACAGCAGTTCTGCAGATAAGAGCAGCACAAGTACAGGAAGAGGTTTTCCTACTGACCAAAATACATGCCATCCCTTTCTGCATCTTAAGACAACAGCTGTGGTGTGAGTGTCATCACAGTGGCAAGATCCTGGCTTTGTAATTCCAGCACAGGTAAGCGTGAGTCATTTCCTTGTCTGACATACTACTAGGAGCCTGTACTTAGGCTTATTACTTTACCTTTGAAGTCAAAAATCCAGATTTTGATAGCCATGACTGACTCATTTACTATTCTACTTGGATTTCAATGATACTTGGAATTTTCAGTTACATTTTGATTGTTAGTTTAGTAATCAATTTCACTTCAATGTTTTATCTTCTTTTTCTCCTTTCAACCTGAGTTTGTTTGCCTTAAATACTACTTCTTATTTTCTTAAATCTATTTCTACTATTTTTCTTTTTTTTTTTTGGGGGGGGGGGAGTGGGGTGCTCCATCAAAGACAACAAACTCTTGTGAGCATTACAAAGGAGAACTTCAGGAGAAGAACAACTAGGACTGTTTTCCTGTAAAAGTCGGACCCACCACCAGCAATTAAACTGCGAGTATCAATCTGCTACCAACCTCTTTGTGCCATACAACCCACCAGATCTTATTCATACCTCAGCTCACATTACCCTCAAGAAACATCAGTTACTATATGTGCAACTGTGTACAGTGCTGAAATAAACACTGTTTCTTCCCCAAAGGTGTTTAAGACTGAAACAACAGCACACTTTGGAAAAACAGTAACTAGTCTTTCCAACGCCACAGGCCATCTTTTAAAAATTACTCCCATGCTTTTGCACTTGAGAATAAAAAAGCAGGACAGTGCCAAAATGTGCTGACTCGTTTACTTTATTATTTTTTCTAACATATTCTGGATTGTTATAAAGCGAAAATATATGAGGCATCTTTCTGCTGCCTCTCCCCTCTACACCTGCAGAGTGCCCACCAACACAGCCCAAAGCAATAGTCCTTGTAAAGCAGAAAGGCAAAGAGAGGCAGAGACAAGGGTAGAGCAGTGCAGGAAGAACTGCTAAGAGTATCAACAGATCTTGCCCCACCACTGTTCATCTCTGGTCCATAACTTTCTTCACTCACAAAAGAAATCACAGGGAAATGCCTCTGGCTAGGTGAGAGCAGAGTATCATACCAAATGATTGGAGGCTTCTTATTTTCTGCCTCTTTCTTTTCTTTTTAAGAAGCACCTAGTTGTTTCACTAGGGGGACTACATATGAATGTTAGATTTTTAGGTTATCCTCGCTGTTATGTGGGTTGCACTCATGCTATGCATTGCAGACTCAATGCCAATAAATTATCCCGAAGGTAGAAACAAAGACCAAATGATCAAAAGTGCACATATATTAAATTATGGTTAATGAGAATGATGAAAAGCTAACACACTGAAGAACTGACTCCATAGTGAACCAGCTCTTATACAATCATAAGACTGAGACCAGCAAATAAAAATACCAGTTCTACAGGACTAACCTTATCTATCAAAACCTCATTTTCCTCAATTATAACAGCTTCCCAAGGGAGAAGGAACCAGTGCTCAGTAAAAAAATCCATACACTTTATTTCTCAGATCTGATGATGGTGATTTACCCTCTTTACCCTGAAATATAGCTCTGAGAACACATTCTCACTGCCTGTTCACCAAACGACTATAACAGGGGAAAAAAAAACACAAAGCAAAACAAAAACCCCACAAACAAACAGGGTGTTGTAACAAAAGGCAGAAATTGGATGCAAATATCTGGAATTTAAATACATTCCAAGCAGAAAAGCAAGAATATCAATATAAGATACAGAATCAGGTCATAAAGTCCAAGTAAGATAGAATGCTTTGTTTGCAGCAACATGTGAATGAGAGGTTGTGGGTACACTTGTCCTCATGTGACTGTATGTTAGAAGATGAAACACAGTAATTATAAAATTGAATTTTTTGGAAATAATCTAATCATCCCTCATTTACAAGTATAAAAGATCTTATCAATTAACTGCATGAGTTCACATAAAAAAGTTAAATCACCTTCAAATACAGAAGATACTTTCCAATCCTTTTAAGGTACACAAGGCAAGAAATCCATAGTGTTTGTAGAAAAGCGCTGGTTTGTGTCATATTTAAGTTCAAACTTAAGTTTTAATTTACTTTAACATTTTAAGTTACTACTGAATATTTTAGCCTAGTGGGCTTTATAATAAAGAAACAGAAATCACAGAAATTACTTGTATAAAAAGCAGAGAATAATCTGTGGCGTCATCAGCTCCCATTATTTTCTTCCTGTATTAAAAGCTACAAAGGGCCAGATGTGAACAAGAGATAATGTAATAAAAAAACCCAGATTTATACCCAAGTGAGCTGGATGTAGAGGACAAACCCTTCTTTCAGCTGTACAAATCAAGCCCTGGACAGGTTCATCTAGAACTCTGAGAGGCCAGAGGCCAAAACTGGTTATTTTGGCAAAGTCCAGGGTTTCTGTTAGACATGGATTCTAAAATGACCTTGACTCATACCATTAAACTTTATCTCCTAAGCAAATGAATCTAGCTTTCTGAGGTCAAAATAAGAGATGGCACAGTTTCACAGGTACACAGGAAGAAGAGACTTGGTCACCCTGAATTTTACCATAGGATTAAGAGAATGCAAGCTTACTTCCCAGAGTTCATAGATTTCTTTTCTGAGGTCCTCTGATAGAAGCTGGGTCAGTTCTTGCATAGCTGCCTGAAAAAAAGAGGCCATTTCCATTTACCTATCTTTTGAGCGAGCACATTTCTATCACTGTCTTTTCTGAATAATTATCTACTTGTTACCAAGTTTGTAGAAACATACACTAGACAGAATATTATTGTACTGTGTTGGCATGGCAAGGTTTTGGTGGGGGGAAGGGAAGAGGGCTACAGCACTGGCCAAGGCCAAGGTGGTAGCACCTTTGGAATAACATATTTAAGAAAGGAGGAAAAAAATCCTGTGCAAATGCACTCCATTGCCCCCCACCACTGAAGCATCAAGGTCTTGTTCCTTCCCACCTCCTTCCAGCTCTGGAGCTCATCAGATTTCAAGGTTATCAGGTCAAAATTACTTACCTGGAAGAAAACCCAGCCCAACCCAAAAAACTTCCCCCTCAAAAAACCCAAACTTTTTTTTTAAATCAAGTTCATTTTCTGCTGCCTTAGCCTTGGGCAAGACTTGCTGGTTAGACTTACTGCACAAGAAGCAAACTTCAAAACCAGGTCAACATCGGCTGTAGAGCAAAGGGGGAAAAAGAACTCTGCAGTGGAAGCAGAATATTGATAATTCCCCTCAAGCCACCTCCTGAAGTTGCCACCCTTCCTGTATTTTTTCAACAAAGTATTTCAGAATCATCCTAAATATTTAATGCTTTACCCTTCTTCCCACAAAGCAAAGTTCTCAATGAGTGAAATGAGAGCAGGAGCTGAAAATACTCAAGAAAACTTTTTAAACATACTTAGGCATCAAAATACCTTTTTCCTTGCCTAAATTCAAATCAGAATTCTCTCTAGACAAAAGTTGAAGCCTGATTCTCAGTGATACAACAACCTTTAAAGGCTTCTAGGAAAGATTTTTTTTCTGTTCAGTGTTTTGAAGCTCTTCAGAGAGTGTAACATAATGCTTCAGTGATTATTCCCCTCCCTCTTTAATGCTTATCTGTTTAAAACTTGGGATTAGGGGGGCTGTGACTAACTCTAGGAGTAAGCTTTTTGCTAAGAAAGTGGAAACTACAGATCTATTCATATTCAGTGTTGTTGAAGTAATATCTTTACTGACTGTAATTGTGGTATTTCATTTTTTCAAGGTACTTCCTAGCATGTTCCTACACTGAACAAAAAGGCTATCACGAGTTTCTGAGGCGACACGTTGCCCTCTAGCTGTGGCTACAGAAGTGGTTTACATTTTCTTCAATTTTCTTCAAATAATGCCACAAACCAGAAATGACAAACCAACAGTTTGGATATGTACAAGACCAAAAATAAAGTAACTCTAGGCATGCTGCACTCACAACAACAACAATAACAACAAAACAAACAAACAAAAAACTAACAAACAAACAAAAACAAACCCAAAACAAAACAAAAAAAGACACCTGTGTCTGGAGTCCCGTGCAAAAGGTTTCAATAAAGTCTTTGTCACAACTGCACGATCTGGCACCACACATATGATCTGACATGAACTGTCATCCATCCCAGTCAGTGCACCCACACCCTGCTCTCTACCTTTTGGTAAGGCTGCTGAAATGACTTATTCAGGCTATCAAAACTACAGTTAGTTTGGGAATAAATGGCCAAGATGAAGATTACTTTGAAGGTTCCCCTGTCATAACTTTGTACTTGGTGATGTTAAGGATACAAAAATCACAATGAGTTGAAAATTGTAGTTGGTTGTGGCAGACTTGTGTAATGCCAATGACAGTATTATATTGCTTAGTGTCCCCTCACCAAACCATTAAAAACATACAGAATGCTTTGCAGATGTGTTTTCACACCTTATGTCCATACCTCTTCTCTCCTGTGTTTCTCCTCTTTTGAGATATTATCTGCAGGAGCAATATCTCCAACAATGCATTCAGCCATATCATGAACCAAAGCTAATCGTATGCATCTGACAAGAAGCAAAGACAGAATAATTAGCTTTTCAGCATTTTAAGTTAAATCTTGTTATCCACAAAGCTAAGAGATGACAGAATTTATACCCTTCCTATATTATGCGGGTTGGCTGGAGTTTTTTTTAAACTTTACATTTTTCACTTCTTTGCCATGGGAAGTAGTTTCTACCCAGACATGTTTTTCGTTTCTGATTTCTAGCTCCTGCTGCTTGTAAATATAGATTTAAATATAAATACACCACGTACCAGAGCATAGCATTCAAAGGTCATGTACTTAGCTTTTGTACATTTGGCTTTCAGAGATGTTGTGATAATTAACTATATGATATACTTCAACAGGTAGAAGGTAATCTGATTAGAGCCATTTCAAATTCATTATATAATCTGACACTCACAGCTCTATGGCTATGCCAGTCTGCAGCAAAATGCTCAAAAAAGCCTTCACATCAGCTTCTGAAGGGAATAAGCAAGCATGATCCTGTAGTGGACTCAACAACTCATTAAATAATGAAGCTTTCTCTACTGTGCTAGAGGTTTACTGAGGCTCCTTAACTGCTGCTGAATACTAGTTCAGTCAAAATCCACGTGGTGTATGGCTTTGCCCTTGCTGTCTGTTGCTTCAGACTATGTTCAACGAGTATCTTCAGCTTGCTTACTTACGGCTTGAGAGAAGGCCAGCTCAGAGCCTCTGCACTAAGGACTTGCCTCTGCACTCGCAGTCTAGCAATAGAAGTTTTTAGCCCCTTTCAGTTCTCCAGGTAAACAGCACCCTGTCCAAAGGATGGAGGGAAAAAAAGAGGGGAAAGGTTTTCAAACTCCTTCAGTGTGTTTTAGAAGCTCTTAGGACGACAGCTCTTTTTAGCATTTGGTCTGCAACTCTCCCTCAACATTAACACATGGTCTTGATAACTAGAGGCAGTCTCACCTGTCCTTGTTAAGGGTTTTGTCTTCAGTCACCAAAGCCATCATTGCCATCCTGTACATATGATCGGATACACTCTCTGGCTTCGCCACGTTCCTGTACACCCATCCTGTCCGTGGTACTCTCTGCACGAGTGTCACAGAATCACTGAATCAGTCAGGTTTGAAAACACCTCTGAGATCATGGAATCCAACCTCTGGCAGGACACCACCACGTCTCCTAGACCATGGCACTGTAAACGTTAAAATTCTTGGAACTGAACTACCTCTCTTCAGAGAGACCAGAAGAAATTTTGCCCCACCGTGACCTCCACGCGCCGGTGAGCCTCGATGCTTTCAGGAAACACCTGCCCCAACGACCTGACCGGGCTCCCCAAGACTGTGCCAGAAGCACGGCCCAGCAGCAGCCGAAGGGCCAGGGCACCCTACCCTGCCCTGCCCTGCCCAGAGCCCCCCTCTCCTCGCCGCAGCCCCAGCCCAGCCCGGCCCGGCCGCCTCCGCTCCGGAGGCGCCGCGGCGGGGCCGCCACGCACACCTCGGGCGGAGGCCCCGGCTCTCCGCCGGCCTCCACCGACTGCGCCCCCGCCGCTGTCCGGGCACTGCCGGGGAAACCGGCCCCGCGGGAGGCCGGCGGGCACACGCACACCCCCGCGGGCACACGCACGCTCCGGCGGGCACACGCACGCTCCGGCGGGCACACGCACGCTCCGGCGGGCACACGCACACCCCCGCGGGCACACGCACACCCCCGCGGGCACACGCACACCCTCGCGGGCACACGCACAGCCCGGCGGGCACACGCACACCCTCGCGGGCACACGCACAGCCCGGCGGGCACACGCACACCC